TGCACCTCGCGACGTTCTCAAGCTATCAAACGAGCTGTCCCATGCCGTCAACCGGGAAACGGGATACCAGGCTTTGCTAAAAGTTCGATGCTCGAATGGGCTTCAAGTCGCATCCTATTATGGTAACTTCATGCAACACACCTTTGGCTCGGACTTCCAACTAGGTTGTATTGATGCAAACAAAGCCTTTGGTGTTGTTTTCACGTACGATGGAAAACTCGATACGAAATTAGATGCTCATTTTCAGGCGGCCCTGTTGTATACAACCGCTAGCGGCCAGCGGCGAGTTAGATGCATCAATATGGTTGCTGCTGTCAATGAAGGAGGCATGGAAACTATGAAAGCAATTGATCAAGACGCTGTGGTTAACATAATTGCCAAAGAAGGTTAGTTTGAACTTTCTACCACATTACAGCAGGTCACCTAATCTTGATTCCAAAGCCGCATCGAAAATGCCAGATAAATCGCTTAAAGATATTCGAGCTGGGTTAACCGAGAAGACTATCGATATTCTTGCCGGTTACCGGAAAAATTTTTCGCTGTCTCACCCTCCCGGCCAACTTGTGTTACCGGAAAATATGAAGGAATTTGCTATGTATATATTGAGTTTGGTGAAATCTCGCGCTTTCAAGTGTGAGTGTTCCAGTGAAAATTTCTGGCAGTGATCTACGACCCATTTTCGATAAGAGTCCTTTTCTGACGTCACACAGGTGGTCATGAAACATCCGATCGTCGGATTCATGATCTGCGCATGCTTCGTTCATTTGGCTGCACCGAACTCTCACTCTATCTATATCCTCGCATTATTCCGATCCACAACTTAAACCCAGAGGACGGTTTCACCAATGAACAAGGCCAGCTTCAAGTTCCTCCCACACTCCGAGCATCTTTCTCCCGCATTGAAGAAGGCGGTGCCTACATCGTTGATAATGGTCAGATCTGTCTACTCTGGATTCATGCGCAGGTCTCGCCAAATTTACTCGAGGACCTTTTTGGCCCTGGTAAAACGAAGCTGCAGTCTCTCGACCCCAACACTTCATCTATTCCTCTACTAGAAACCCATCTCAACGCTCAGGTGCGGAATATTATCCAATACCTCTCTACTATCCGTGGTTCCAAGTCTGTAACGATACAGCTTGCGCGTCAGGGGATAGACGGTGCCGAATACGAATTTGCCAGACTTCTTCTGGAAGACAGAAATAATGATGCTCAAAGTTACGTTGACTGGCTGGTGCATATCCATCGGCAGATACAACTCGAGCTTGGAGGTCATCGGAAAAAGGAGGAGAGCGGTACAGCAATTGCTGGAGTGGAAAACACGTTATCTGGGTTGAGCGGGCTACGGCCGCCATATTGGTGATTTTCAACTGATTTGGCATAGCGGGTTTAATCGGCTTTTACAATTAAAATGGCTATATTATTTCTTTAATCCATATCATGCGCATGGCAAGAGGATATTTTTGTCTTTCATAGAGACATGGTGCTAAATGGAATTGAATATGGATTGAAAAGTAACACCCTTCTCTTGTTGCCTTGTTTGGAGTGTTGGAGAACCTAACAATTACTTTATCCCCACAGCCAAAATATTACCCAGGTAATTTGTCGCATGCGGAATTAACTGACTATTCGTCCCATCCAAGGGTATCCCAAGTTGTATCCAACTGCAGAGGATTTCCATGTAACACTAAATCACGTGATTAGTCTGTCAGCCCGTGGATCGGTTAATCGGTGTGGGGATGACGATTCCCCATTCATGTTTTTGTCTCATCCGAAGTCTGGATAGCTTGCGAGACCCGAAATGGTTCAGCGGATATCCCGTGCGGGTGGCGCCCTTCTAGATCGGGTTTACCCGCTTTTTGCAAGTTTTCCTTTAGGTTTGCCACCGCGGCTAATGGCAAATTGCCGCGCTAAGCGTTAAGGTCGATAACTCCGCTTAGGAAGATGGCAATGCGTATGACGTCGCTATTGGGGCGCATTTTGAGATCACAACCAGGATCGGGGAAATACCACTTGTTGATCTCATCCCTCTCTGTCAGCTGATTGAAGGTGATTTGATCAGGTTAAACCTGGAAAGAGGCTGTTCGCCCTACCCGACTATTCTCCGTGAATTATGGAGTCCCTTCTTGTCTCATCTAGCCAGTCCCATTATATCAAATGAGAGTCGGCGGCTGGACTTCATTGCCAATTACCAAGTGGTTAAAATGAAGGTAAAGCATCCCATATTCTTTCTTCCAGGGTTCCCCATCCTCCCCAGGTGGAGAAAGATTACATATGTTACGGGCATACGCTTTGAACTCTGGAGCCCTTTAAAAAAAAAAAAAAAAAAAAAAAAAAAAAAAAGGGGGGGGGGGGGGTAGGGGGGGTAGGGTATCAGGAGCTTTTTGTGAAAGAAATGTGAGACTGGTGGGAACGGCTTATCTGCCCATATCAGTTCGCTGGATACCTACCTTATGGTTTGTGCCTTAACTTCAGGAAAATGTTAATCCATCAATCCACAATCCAACCGTCTGTTCAGCGCTTACGAAACTTGCGGCCGCTCCCGCACGCCCCAGGTGGTTCCTTAAAAACTTAAATCCTCGCAACCAAAACCCCTGAATGGAACCTTGGGATTGTCCCAGGGACCAACTGCTCCAACCATGCGACGATTTCGCCTTATCATTTTCTGCTGGGATTTAATTTTTGGGATAGCCTCAAAGCTATTCCAAATGCCGTTATTGTTGTCAAAATTTCACTCCTTGAACCATTGGGAGCTACGAAATGAATTCCCAAGGGTATCCAAATTTTATCCTGCTCTTCGTCTATAAAGGGCCCAACGGCTCCCACGTCGAGCATCCCTTCGCTCTTCTCAGAATAGCCATCATTATTTAACTATCAATCTTTACCTTCATTTTATATACTTATTGTGTTTTTGATAACCCGCCTCGGACCAACCCAACATGTCTATCAAAAAGGTCGTCATTGCTGCCGCTGCATTTGCTGGTCTCCTTCCAGCCACATTGGCCGGCACCGCCAGGGTTCAGAACAGCTGCGGATATCCCGTTTATCTCTGGTCGGTCGGTGGAGACAAGGGGGTGATGAACGTTATTCCACCTAATCATAGTTATGCGGAACAGTACGGTGTCGCCCGAAATGGAGGCGGTATTTCCCTCAAGATATCCAAAAATCAAAACCTCGCGAGTATCACCCAGTTTGAATACACTCTTGCCGGTAACACATTGTTTTACGATATTTCAGCCATCAACGGGGAGCCATTCGTGAAAGATGGCATAAGCCTCACTTCCCCCAATGGCAATTGCCCAAAAGTTATTTGCCCTCCGGGTGAAAGTCCTTGCAAGAGCGTCTACAACAAGCCAAACGACGATTTCGCGACTCACTCATGTTCCGCTGCCGCTGACCTTACATTGGTCCTCTGCACTGACGGCAGGCAGCAGGGATATAGTCCTCGCCGGCGGCCCAGCGCCTAAGTAGAGAGCATAGACTTTCATTGACGCCCACTTTCCTATTTCATTTGACATTCCTCTCTTGACGACCTTCCACTCTTTTTGTAATCAAAAAATATTTTCGATCTCTTCAATGTACCTATATATTGTCAAAGTACACGCTCCAGGCAATTCGTCGCTAGAACGATGCTTTTGTCATTGGTTTTGCTATCGTTTTGTGGAAACCTGGCTTTGCAGGCCGTTAAAGGCGGCTCAACCATTGAATCTATCCATTCATTACTTGCTCTTCTTGGGATGATAAAATCTTATACAATGTTTATAAGATAGACACAATGAATAATATCCATTACGTCCACCACGCCATACTTTGCGAAAGGAATGCAGAAAAATAATCACAAAAGATGAATACCAATTGAAATCTCTCAGGTGTATGTATGTATCGTGCATGTAGCTTCATACAGTTGAGTTCTTGGAGCCAGCCAAAGCCCGAACCATGTCGAATTCATCACGGTTTACCCTACAACCCTACAACCTTAGAGATGAGTGGCAAAGTTGTAAATGTTTGATGTAAGGATCGGTCGACTTATTCCAAGGTAGGGGTAGAGCTTATGCCAAGTCTCTCTATACCAGGCCAACACTAGCAGTCTACATAGTAAACTAACGATTCCTCAACTCCTAATCGTATTCTAACCACTAAACCTTAATCCCTAATGCATACCTCTAACCAACCCCAAAGCCACCCTAGGCCAGTTGAAAGGAAAGCTGAGAGGTTGGTTTGTGAGTGTAAGTGTGAGCTGAGCCTCTATGAGCGGCTACGTTCCAGGGATGGTTAGCGTCGACCAAGCATGAAAGAGCCTTGGCATAGATCTTCCCGTTCAAACTGTAGCTATCCCAGTAGGGAGGCAAAAGCGCCGATTTGTCTTAGTCAGCAATGGCACCTTATCATTGGCCACACGGAACGGGAAATTTTGTTCCTCAAGGTTAAATCAACGACATATGTTTATTAGTCAGCATGACTGGCTGGGAGAAAATCACTTGAAACTGGCTGTTCAAACCTAGATCCCATCGAAAACATGGCTCCATTATGAAAATTTATTATTCTCCCTATTTTGCCTGTAAGCCCTAGTAATTTGCAGAAACATCTAAAAGCTGCAGTAATGTCTGGGGGTTTTGTAAGACCATCTGCCGTCATATCCTCCGTGGGGAAGGTAATTCAAAAGAAATAAAACCCTCATTCAACTGCGCTTGCGATTTATGAAAATGGATGTGTATATGCCGACTACAGGCCGTAATCACCACCGTGACCGTATTGAGACTCGAATACCCCTGCAGTTGCTGTAGTTGAGAGCGGGATTGCAGCATTGGCATTAGGTTGAGGTGCCAAAAGGAGATAGTCAATATCTTTAAAGTGCAATGTCACCAATTCTCTGATGAAACTGTACGCTCCTCAGCTAGAGAAATGGCATATTCTGTGCAAATTTTCTCTCAAAGAGCTGCAGTGTTGACAGGTTCCAATGTTCCAATTATCATCCAAACAGGTCCAAGAAGGGATCGCAACCCCTATGCATAAGGCTTTTGTACAGACTGTCCACTTCTCCTTTTCCACGGACGTCCCATCTTAAGGCACTGTGTACTGCTTTATTGGTTAAGATATCAGTCCCATCAATGACCTCCACAGCCGCCAAGATCTCAACCTTCACGCCTGGTAGTTGGATTCATTGAATGTAGTCACAGATTTTGTATCTAATGACACCTTAACCTCCTTCAGGTATTCACGGACCTCCTGCCTCAAGTCATCTAGAGGGGTACCACTGTTGTTGTTGGGAGAATCCTGCCGTGCGGCCATCATCATCTGTTGGCAGAATGCAAGCAGATCCGCAGCAGTCATCATAATTGTGCTGTTTGCACCAGGTGTAGGCAATGGGATAGGCATTTTAGGACAGTGTGTTCTCTCAGGGAATCAGTGCCTGGCTGGCGGCCGTGATCGCTTAGGGCCCTCCATGGTGTCTTCTTCCTCAGCCATATCAAAGCTGGGTAAGCTCCTCTTCTTGTGAATCTGAGCTGCTCACTTTGTCTTCCTCAACTGTAGATTTTTCAGAGGCTTATGAGAATGTTTTCATTCAGAATGTGACGTAGAGAGTAGTCCGCTAATTGGTCTCTGGACTTGAGCACCTTTGGAAAGGACATGAAAAACTAGAATAGCTCGTGGGGCATTCTCAGAGGCTACTGTTTATCATGCTCACGCAGGCCATAAGGGATCCTCTGTACGCGCAAAATAATGAGATTCCCTGTGAATAACTGCTTATCTTCTCTCGATTGAACTCATCTGACGTTCACGCAATGCTATTTTATGAAAAATAGCGTCAATTATATAGGAAAAGTACACTAACCGGGTCGTAACCTGTGGGATGGTTGATCATGTAGTTATAAAAGCTAGCTTATAGCGTTGGGCAGCCGCCCCAACTGCACGTGACATCGCGTATATTAGTTAGCTAGCTAGTTCTCCAACGAATGAAAGACCAACCATCCCACATATATATAGTTAACTAATTGCACCAAATCACGTGGCAAGCTGCTGGCGACAAGCGGTCGCCCACACCCCCAACATAAACCCCCCAAGTCTGTAACGAAACTCCTTTGTCCAGATATTAGATAGGCAAGCACCGCTCAAATCGACAACAAAAATCCCAGGAGAGCTATCACAAGAAATACTACACTATTAATTACTCTAGAACACAATCGTCAGACAATGAAGTTCATCCTACACTTACTTTAGGTTTCCCTATGCCTAGCGCACTCATATTCTTCCACACTTCTACGCATTTAAATGTCAGCCAATGAGGCTCAAATTAAGCTTGCAACCGAGTGAAATATAGATTGAGAGAGAGAGAGAAGTTCAGTGCCATCACAGAGTGCAAACGTGATTTTAGGCCTTGCTTGACTTTTAACATCTTATCTAACATGTGGGCATGAATTGGATGCAGTTCTAATACTGCACAGCACTCTGACTACTGAACTGTTCCGACATGATTTTGGAAGCGCAGCGTGAAAACCTTGGCTTTTCAGTGCCTATACTCCGTTGTCAGTGGGCAATAGCAGGAGACGAAAAGAAACTGATATTGGAACCTCTGATATCAGTATTTTCGCACATACGCAATAGATAACAAAAGGCCGATGAAGCCAATGAACGACAATCGTATAATGCCGGAGAATAAACGGGAAAAGAATCCAATATATACAACCAACAACTATATCCATCAACGGCAATGGAAGAGCAGACTGTTTTACCCTGCGGATAGCCTCTTTATCCCACTATCTCTTATGTCATTTCCTTTACGTCCAGACCGTCTTTTCCTTCGAAACAGCATCCTAATCTTCTCCCAAAATCCGTGCGATCTATAAGCCTTCAACAGCCCATACGCCACCATCCTATAAATTATTGTGCAAACGCCCAAAGCCACCAAATTCATCTCAGGATTCTTGTCTAGATTATACAGCTTCAGTGCCTGTTCACCAGTCTCTATTGGGCAATGGCCATCGGGTAAACGTTGGAAATCACTGCAAGTAAAACGATGGCCAGCCACGGAGTAAGAAGCCAGATTCGCAATTGCATACTTGATAGGAGAAAGGCTATTTAGCGCTTGGAGAACAACGGGAATGTTGAGGCTCATTATCCCGCCGAGAATGTTGGCTATGGAGAGAAGAATGGAAGTAATGTTTACGGAAAATCCGGCGTGAGAGAACAACGTGCAAAACATGATCCCCAGTGATTCACCGCAGTTAACTATGCAAAAACAGTTGAAGGTAGCGATAAGAAACATTTTCACCGTCCGTTGCATTCCCACGACGAATGCCAGTAAAGCTCCGAAAATCAGTGAGGAGAAAATTTCGAATGGAACTTCAAGGATAGTGTATTGCACCATGAACGCCTCGACGGAGTAACAGTTGTCCTCTTGTTCGCGGTAAAACACATCTCTTTCGGTGGGGTATATTGCAATGTTTTGTAACATCCCTTTTCGAGAAATACGTTAGTAGTTTGTATTTTAGGTGTCGTTTTCAGAGGAACCGCATTTACTCACCAACAAAGTACATAGCAGCAAACTGCTGGAGAACACCCATCCTCGATTGGACAGCCTCATAATTGTTCTGCAAGGGGGCGAAGAACAGCGACGTAATCACTGCCATGCCAATCACCTGCATGCTTCGCGCAACGATAAGGCGTGGTTGTCTCCGCAGATTTTTGAGCGATCGATGCAGGACCAGAGGCAAAATAACTAAAAATGGATTAATCTGTCGCTTTAGGCTCCCAAGTTCAGCAGGGGTCGTAATCACTGATGTCTGACGGGTTAATTCAAGCGGCTTTTCCGCCCAATCCGTAATCAAACGTTGTGCTCTGACACGACTTATGGCTTCCCTCGTTTGTTCTTGGAGGTCCACCGTTATCAAGTCCAAGACAAAATCGGCAGGATTTGTGGTATTGGGGCATGGATATCCGAGACGCTCAAAGTGAGAGAGCATATACTCTCCTTTTCCTGAATAGACAGGGTGACCACCCCTCGAAAGCAACAAAATATTGTGAAAATGATGGAAAATATCGGATCTGGATTGGTGTATTGTGAGAATGAGAGTCCTGCCCTCAGCTGCTAGACCGTTCAAAACTTCAATAATAGATGTGGCCGTGAACGCATCCAGACCGGAAGTAGGCTCATCCAGGAGCAAAACCTTCGGGTCTGTTAAGATCTGTATGGCAATGGAGACTCTTCGTTTTTCACCACCACTAATTCCCTTGATCAGGTCACTACCAATTAGATTATTTGCGCAATCTTTCAGACCCATCCTCAGAAGTATGTCCTCAGCACGGCGGTACTTTTCTCCTTTTGACATCCAGGAAGGAAGTCTCAAGCCGGCAGCAAACTGGAGACTCTCACGCACCGTTAGCGATGGCATCAAAGCATCATCATCTTGAGCCACAAACGATGAGACAGATCTGATTACGCTTTCTGAAGGCACCGCACCATTGTACAACATATCGCCTCCAATACGGTATCGAGTTCCAAACGAACCGTGAAGCCTCCTGGCAATAGAACACAGCAGGGAGGATTTCCCGCTTCCGGATGGTCCCATGATGACATTGAGTTGTCCTGGTTGAAATTCGGTTGATATCGGCTTCAATATGCTTAAGCGGTCGGACCTGAATCCTCGCCTTCCCAACGATCTTTTTTGTATCTCTAACGTATATTTATCAAGGCGAATGGAAACTTTTCGAACATCTTCCGTCGATCGAGGAACCATCTTTTCCTTTCCGGCGGAAAGGTCTCCGTCCGTATTTATAGCTTGAGCAACATCCATATCAAATTTCCTGAATTGAAGGATCAAAGTAGCATCAATATAGAAGACGATTATGAAAGAGAGCATGATTAAAATCGGTCGCCAGATCCAGTTTGGTGGAAATCCAAGACTGGAGATAATGAATTTGCCAGTATATTCTTTGCAGCGGGGATCAGCTGGATTGTTTGAATATGGGCAGTCGTAAAACTGGCCATATGGAGGGCCACGCGGCCCGATAAATTCATTTGTGCATAAGGCCCCGAACGTATAAAATGAATATGTGATCCATTTCAACCATCTCACGTAAACGGGGATCTGGTTGGACTGCACAAAGTATCCACAGGCAACAGATTGAAGTGTGAAAGACAGGTTCCCCACCAAGCTGGCACCCGGGAAATGTCTAGATATTCCGATGCAAATGCACGCATATATGACGGCAGTATATTGCGTAAGAATATTCAGCGCGAGAAAGATAAAAAATTCAGCCGCTTGAAGGCGATATCCGACCATGAAGTAAAATATTAGTGAGAATAAGATGGGCATTGGTAGGTCTTCAAGGAAAATCCGTGCAACCCGCCGGCTCAGTAAAAGTGATGAAACACCCACCACCCCCTCAACTCGCTCTCGATCAAATAGTTGAATATCGGTTGAAAGTCTAAATGTCTCATATATCAAAATTAAATAGCCATTTAAACTACTGGCAATATAGAGGCTTCCCTGCCGCGAACGTATCCCCGCCAGGCCCATATCCAACTGAAGAAAAATCCAACCTGTGATGACAGCCATGCTGATGGCTTCGAAGAAACTACCAGCTACTCCCATGGAATCTCTGATTGTCATTTTAAAAGTTCGCGCTGTCAGCACTCGGAACTGTCGATAAAAATCGACTTTTTTTTGTCGCGCGACATCAGCCTGTTGATCAGATGAAGAGAGTGAACTGGATTTCTTGATGTTAATTTTGCTCGTTCTGGCTATCCAAGCATCTTTCAACGCCTCGACACGTGCCGATGATGTTAATTCGGCTTCTTCAGAACGATTGTCGTACGCAGCCAAATCGATTAAGAACTCTGCTGGGTTAACAAAGGGTGGAAGATGGTAGCCACATTCTGCGAAATGATCTAGGGACCCAGCTGCTGTTCCACTGTATAGGACAGACCCGCGAGACAAAAGCACCACGCGGTCAAAAAGACCCCATATCTCAGATCGAGGAGAGTGAATTGATATTATGACTGTTCTTCCATCTTGCGCCAGTCTCTTCAGGGTTCTAATGATCTGAAACGCGCTCGTGGCATCCAAACCTGACCATGGTTTAGTCAGGACATAAATTAACTATGCAAGCGCGTCAAGGAAAGGCATTCTTCGGCTGACGATAAAACATACCTGTTGTCGGTTCATCACAAAAGAGAACTGACGGATTCGCCAGCAACTGGACACCAATGCTGGTGCGCCTCTTTTCCCCTCCACTACATCCTTTGTGCGCCGAACTTCCGATTCGTGTGTCTGCACACTCTTTCAAACCCAGCTCCAAGATAGCTTTTTCGACTACGTTCTGTCGCTCCTTTTGGGTGGTGGGAGGAGGTAGCCTCAGATCAGCTGAGTATTGGA